TCAGAGAAATGTAAATCCAATTCACCCTAAGATATTGTCTAACCCCAGCAAGAATGGCCCAAATCACAGAATCTCAAAACTGCAGATGTTGGCGTGGATGTGCAGATAAGGAAACATTTTTATACTTCTGATGGGACTGCAAACTAATACAACGTTTCTGGAAGGAAGTATGGAGAACCCTCAAAGAACTCAAACTATACCTCCCATTTGATCCTGCAATCCCATTACTGGGCATCTATCCAGAAGGAAAAGAATCCTTTTAACATAAGGACACTTGCACTAGACTGTTTATCACAGCTCAATTTATAATCACCAAAATGTGGAAACGGCCTAAATACCCACCAACCCAGGAATGGATTAACAAGCTGTGGTATATGTACACCATGGAATATTATTCAGCCATTAAAATAGATGGAGACTCTACATCCTTTGTATTAACCTGGATGGAGGTGGAACACATTCTTCTCAGTAAAGCATCACAAGAATGGAAAAGCAAGAATCCTATGTACTCAATTCTCATATGAGGACAGATGACCTAGTACACTGTGGGGGGTGAAGGAAAGGAAGAACAGAGAGAGGGAAGGAGAGAGAGGGTTGGGGTCATGGTGTGTGACACACCTTTTGGGGGCAGGACACAATTTTAAGAGGGACTTTACCTAATAAATGCAATAAATGGAACCTGGTTCTTTGTACCCTCAGTGAATCCCCAACAATAAATAAATAAGTAAAATTTTATAAAAAGGAAATTACCATGTTTGTTTGGCTGCTAGATGAGTAAAACCGATGATACAGAAGAGATAATTTCTCAACCCAGGATATTGAGAGGCAAGGGAGGTGTCATGTAGTCTCCAGGTGGAAGTGTTGCCTATTACTAGGGGCTAGGACAACATATTTATATATAGCTACAGGAGAAATGCTGAGAATTATGTAGGAGATAATGACATTTTACAGCCTATAGATGTCCTTGGACAAATTCTCTTTATTTACCCATCTGTGAAAGCAAGTGGGCTTAGCTCTGGGGGAAAAAAATATGGAATGTGCGGTGATGTTTAATTCAATAAACACTATCAATTACTTTGTTTATTATCCTAAAGAAAATGTTATGGGGATTTATAGTGATTTATTTCTGTATGCCTATATGTATACGTTTGGGTATATATATATATATAAGTGCTTACATAAAAATATATAATTATACTCTATATTGGTCCTTAATTATTCTAAAATTACAACCATATATTGGATCTTATTTTCAAGGAAGTAAATAGTGGGACAATATACATACATATAAGTACGTATATGTGCACAAACATACCCTACTATTAATATTTATATGTAAATACATACATGTACAAGAATATAGAAATATACACAAATACAGATACATACACATCTATATGTGTGTGTATATATATTTTTTCTCCACTTACATGATTACAATGCCATGAGAACAGAGATTCTTCATCTTAATATCTCCCAAACTACCTAGAATATCCTTGTAAATAATATGCCTAAGTATCATAAATGTATATGTTTCTGTATGTGTCTATTTTGGGGGGTCATCTATGCATATTGAATGGATAATATTCAGATCACAAAGACCAAATCCCCACTGTTAGATGCCACTTAGAGAAGGTTCTCATGTAGTACCCAGAAATTATGCTCTTCCTCATACAGAGAAGACAATCAATCAATGAGATGCAAAGTAAGTGAGAAAACGACAATGTCTATGCTAATATACACAGTGTGCAGGGACCAAGGAAGAGAGAACAATTAATTTTTATCAATTGATTTATAATGTTTCTCCTTGTCATCATTTCACTTTTGCAGGGAGTCAATATCCTCTAGTATTAAAATGGGAATAAAGCTGATATTTCTGATATTACTACAGCTCATTTGCATCACAGCCTTTACTTCCTAATTGTATCAAAAGATGTCACCTAGTTACACTAATGACAGGCATCATAGGTTGACAGAGAGATAATTTTGAGAGTTCAGAGTTTTCTTCCTGTCCCTAAAATCAACGTATTTTCACTCTTGACTTTTGAAAATATTTCTAAAGTAATATGTACAGTTCGTGACTGCTCACAGGGCTGCAATATCTCTTCTCCTTTCTACCTTGCTCATAGTTCTTCTTCATCAAAGTTTCCAGGCTCCCCCTGAGTCCTAGCTCCAGAGGCACAATTCCCAAGCGTGTCCAAGAACGGAGGAACACTGGCATATTGACCCTGCTACAGACGCTGGCCTGGATCTTCCTGGTCTTAAAGAACATCCCTGAGACCATCCACTGATCCTCCCCCTTTCCTTTCCCAGAATTCTATCTTTCACTTTTCCATCTGAAAAGTTGGATGGGTTTTCCTTTGTCTTCTCTTTGTACTTCCCTTCCCTTGGTCCCTAGCTTCCAAAGAATCTGGAACCCAGAATCCATTCATAGATGGCCTCTGTATTTTACTCCCAAGATGAGTATTCATGAACTTTCAGATGGAAGTGCATGGGACTACACGAGGGAGTAGGAGGAAATTGAGATGTCAGACATTCTTTCTGAGGTGATGATTGCCTGAATTTGGAGGTGGAGAAATGAGGACTCTCAACAGTATCATTAGTATGGCTATTCCCATCTGCTCCTGGCATTCCAGGCAAAGATTTCTCTGAAAAGTAAGAGCAATTCAGGGTACAGCCTGTGTAATATAGAATCTGCCTTCAGGTAGAGCGCTTTCAATCTAAGCCTGTGGGCCATGTAGCTCAGCAATGGTTACGCACACATTGTACAGGTCATAGCGATTTTCTGTAAGATTTATTATATTACAACATCACTTATTGCAGCAGAAGATATATATCTTCAGGCTTCTCAGTTTATGCTCATACTGCTTTATTATTAGTTCACCAGTGTCTGCTGACAACATAAAATATTTAAAGAGAACACTAGTTTACGAAAATTACTTTGCTTATATAATCTGAGTGGTTCAGCAATACCTAATAAAATTGTCCAATTCTTTCTTAATCATATTCATATTCTGTACTGTCACCTCTGGTGGAACTTTAGAGCAAATGAACTATTATTTATATCTACTTTTTGATGAATTAAAAATGATGCAAATTAATAGGTCACCATACAAGCACTTGCCCTTGTCCTACTCTATGCTGTCACAAGACATCTGATTATTAGAGCACCAGTTAAACGTGAATGTCCGAGTGCATATCTACATCATTATATAGATCAAAGTAAAATTGCACCATGCTCAGAGTCTAGAGATTATCCTACAGTAGAAATTAGTAAGTATAAGGGTTCGCCAAAAATGTCTAGGGAAGAATTACATTTTCAAGGGGAATCAATCATTTGATAAATGAATAAAATGTTATCATAATAGTATATTCTTGTGGTTACATAAATACATGTTTAAGGTTCTAACCAAAAATTAGATGAAATTTAAAGGATACTTAACTTCTGTAATCCCTCCTTCCCCTGTTAAGAAGTCTTAAATTCCCTCACTATTCTCTCCTTTGACATAGAACCCAACAAACAAGGTCAGACAATTAAGTTTGCCAACTCATCCTAGAAAAAATGCTACATACCTCATTGCTGAATATCACCACGGTCCC